TTTCTGAAAATCACGTATCAGAATTGTGTCTTTTTCCAAGGTCACCTCCTACAGTAGAGGGCATGTGAGCAGAAAACTCCCTATTTTGGTTAACATCAACATGTTTGTGAAACCACACCTCAGGCATGTACAGCGGCCGTGTTTACCAACGCTGTTTTGGGGCCCCAAGAGAGGGGTGGGGGGCCCCTACGGCATTAGTGTTTGTGTTCCATCTTGCTGGTTCATGACAAGTCATGACATACAGCATTACTTTATGAGCAACAATGTGAAAATACGCCAGTGATACTTGTTCTTCAGTATGGCTAGAAAAGTCGATTGGCAGGGGGATTTTTGATTAAACTGCAGACATGTTTGGGAACCTTTATTGATAGTTTTATTGTTTTATTTTTATGCAGTGAAAGTCACAGCTGAAGCAACGATGCACATAATCCGTGCTTAGTGGAGATACTAATTGGGTCTGGTAAGGATGACATAACTTGTAAATTTTTGTGTCTGATTCCATTACATTTAAAAAAATCCTTTAATAAATACATAACATTTGTTGCATGATTATTGTAGGAAACCTCTTTGATGTGAATGCATTCAAATAATATGCAGTTTTGACATTGCACCTGTCCAACCCAATGAGAAGAGTAAGAAAATCAGTAAAGTATTTAATAATTTAAAGAAATTAAGTAAAGAAATAAATAAAAGTGTCATAGAGAAGGAATAGAAATGCAAGTTGGACAATTATAGCAGCATCTTACACCCTAACTCAGGGGTCATCAACTATATTTGTCAGGGGGCCAGAGTTTTACCAGACAGTCTCCTTGGGGGCCGGACCCCCAAGAAGAAAATCAACAATAAATGCTTAACGCCGCATAGTCTGTCTGAGTCTGTCCTCATTTCGGAGTGTAGCCTAAATATAGTCATAAATGGTGGTTATTCTGACAAGAGACTCAGTTGTTGTTATTTTTAGTTGCTTTAATAGTGTGGACCCCTATTTTCTTTTTGATCCTCACAATTTTGGAATCCAGTCGCGGGCCGGATTGAACGGCTCAGCGGGCCGCCAGTTGATGATCAGTGTTCTAGCTGCTTAAAAATGTACAGACGACGCCTCCCTTTGAACCCATTGTATAACTTTCAGGTTTGAACATCTAATTCTGTGAGTTTCTCAAAGTACCTCAGGTGAACACAGGATTAATCTGCCAACCCAAACACCCTTATTCCCTCAAGCATATTATGATACATTTGAAGTACACACATTGATATGTATTTGTATATTTGTCCGCAAATTTACATGACCTCGAATGTCAGACGGCACAACTGGTGAAAGGGGGCTTTTATTTTGAAGTCATTTTAGAAAACAGAGGACAGGAAGTTGCATCATAACGAAGACCCCAAGGTGACTTTCATGGTTCAGTAAAAAGTTTAGTAGAGCGACCTCAGATATTAATAAAAATGACCATTTTCAGCTCATCGTTAGGCTTGCCCAGTTTCCATGTCAGGTTGTACAACCGATATAAAACATTGAAGATATTTTAATATGATAAAACTGTTTTTAAAATTACATGTATCAACTTGATATCAAGGACATCGGTTTGCACAGGTGTCAAAGCAGATGGCTGTATAATTTGTAATGAGCTTGAAAACTCTGGTGACCCAACTACAACTGATGTTAATAGTTGATACTTTATTAATCCCTGTGGGGAAATTGTCTTTACACATCCCTCAACTTAATCTTTGCGAAGTAAGCTGTCCACAAAGGGCAGCCACTTGTAGCAGGGCCCAGGGAGCTGGGGGTTAAGGGCCTTGCTCACGGACCCGCAGACGTGCTGAGGCTGGGTTTGAACCAGTGACCTTCTGATTACAGGCACATAGTCTAAGCCCATTGAGCCACACGCTCAGTGTCATTCACATCACCATCAAAGTCATTAATGAATTAATTAATCAGTTCCAATTCAGATCAGGAAATGAAACTGGAGCTGGAAATGGAAAATGATTTTAACAATTTAAAAAGATATTTCAACAAATATGAATTAATAGAATACATTACAGACACATACATATGTATCACATCCATTTTGAGAAGTTTTTTTTTTTTGATAACCTTATTTGGTCCTCACCCATAAACCCTGGGCCGCCACCCCCCCCCAGAAAGAACCTTATATACACAAAGTAGTCATACGCCTCTATATTCCCCAAGCCGATGACCTGCTTCCACACCGCTGGTGACTTTGGGGACATGTAGGAGGTCACTGCCCGTTAGAAGAACAGCTCAAGCTGAATGACTAGCATTCCCAGGATGGCTGGACCACAGTTTGACCTTGGATCTTCTTGTCTTTTCTTCTTGCAAAGTGCAGTGTGTGTGTTTGCCTGGCTTTGTGATGCATCTTAGGGCAACAATGTTAGGAAAGTCACTGGGACTACTTCACATTTCACTGTATTTTAACTGATCTAAACCAGGTAATAAAAGTGATAAAAGATGTAACTAAAACCATGGCATCTCTGTTACAGGGGTGGTTCTAAAATGTTTTAAATGGGGTGGCACAGGGCAGACCAACGAAGAGGACTGTAAGTCCAAATTGTGTTCCTTGGGCTCCCGTTTCCTGTCCGCAACATCAAGTTTTTTTGTCTGCGTGCCAATTCCGCCTAGTACGACTTCTGGCCGCTACTCCCGCCGCGCAGCAGCGTAGCTTGCGTATTCCCACCATCCTAGTTCTTAGTACTTGCGTATACCCTTAAAATGATGGTGAATAACGACTTACGAACATTTCAAGTTACAAGTTGGCCGGGGGGGCATCAGAAATCAGAAAATAAATACAGCGTTGAAAATTGACTTCCAATTCAATTATTATTATTATTATTATTGTTGTTGTTGATGATGGTGATGATGTTGCCCTAAGTGCCCACAGATCATAAAGAGGCCCTCCAACGTGCATGTTTTGATTTGTATGATTCACGTTATGTCTCTTCTCCTGTTTGAAAGAAGTGGCACCGTGATTCTGATTCTGATTCGATGCCATTTGCCATTGTCAGTACTGTACCCCAATGGTGTTGGAGGGGCACCTGGGGGGACCAATCACATTTGAGGGGGCCCTGTGCCAACATGCCCCTGCTCTGTTAATCCCACATGCTTCTACACTGAGGTCACAGTTCATTAGTATTAACTAAAAAAGTAAATAAATACCTCGCGTATGTCAGGCACACCTCAGATCATGAAACAAATAAGCACTGTAAGATGGGCGGGGGCATAGACATGACATGAGCTGCAGGTCATTTATGCAATTACACTTGTATTCTCTCTCTGCACATTCATCGCTCAGGACACACTCAGAAGTTACAGCCCTTCTGCTCAACATCTACTTCCCCCTCCCTGATTTTCGGAGAAGCTTCAGCTACATCCTTCAACAGCTCTCGTCTTTCACGACGAAGACGTGTTCTTTGAATCTCCTGCAGAAAAAGGGCACAGTCCCTTTCGGTGAAATAACAAATAAACCTTTAGGCTGCAGTGAATAACAAATTTAAAAAAAAAAATGTTGCTACAGTAACTGATGCCATATTTTTTTTCGACTGAAAGCACTCGGTAATTCTCAGTATCTGAATGTAACAATGGATGAATTTATACTGGAACATGTGAAATATTGTGATGGAACTGGTATCCTGCCAGTAAGAAATGGGTGGCAGTACTTACAGCCTTTGGACACAGAGGGCACACTCGTTGGCGTAGGTGATCCCATCAGTGCCACACACTGGGAGAAGGTTCATGGGACAAGCGCCGATTGGGTCCATTTTCCCACAAGAAGGCTGTGAATACAGGGGGGGCAGTGACTGGCACTGTGAGTTTGCTGTAGCTACTCTGTCATTAACTGCATGATCATAACAGTCCTTTGTAACTGTAGGTCTTTTGGGAGCTAAACCACTGAATTGAGTAACAATCCCTTCAATTATATAAAGAAAACTCCCAATAAGATAGAAAGACTTGCTTGTTGTATTGGAGATAGGATGCGTAGCACATTCATTTAATCATGCAAATAGAAATTACCATCTTACTTCCCTGGGCCTGCTGGATTTCCCATTTGACTCTAAAACAAAACGCAAAAACATGGAAAAGGTTGTTATCATAACGGCTTGTAGGGAAAGTTGAGTTTGCTGATGTGTGGGAATGAAGGTCGGTCTTACCTGCAGTGCAGATGGCAAAGAAGAACAACAGGAACCATTTAACGGCCATGTTGGCCGTTTCTTCCAGTATCTGAGTTCGGTGACTTCTGAAGGGTGTGGGAACCTTAACAGCTGGCAGGAGAGACTTTAGCCACAAAACAGGTCACACATGTAACTGAAAATCTCACTCCAGCCAGCTCACCATAGTTGGTAACCCTGGAATTAACCACAAAGTCTTGCATACTGATCTCATGTTCGTTCATCATTAATGAATCATGATGCATCTTTTATCTCAAGCAGTTACAATTTTTGTTACTACATCTGTTAAGCTGTTGTGAACTACTGAAGGAACAATCAATGAATAACTACATGTGTTACTATATCTATTAATTCTGTAAACCTTTGTGAACAACTGAAGCAACAACTGAAGGAACAAGTAATGAATAACACAAGTGAAATACTGATCTCATGTGATGTTCATTATTACTGAATTGTGACAAGAAGCTACTATATTTGTTCATGATTTTTACTTCAGTAGTAACTGAGTTATTACTAAGTATTTGTGCCACAAATGAGTTTTACTAACATTTTCCCAGCTCACAACAGTGAATAGAATGCACATTGCGTAACTAATTACAAAATAATAATGGTAAGGAAGTTAAGGAATACATTAACATAAACCACATCTTTATGTTAAATCTGTAATTTCGTAAAGTGTGAAAACAGGCGTGGTTCACTTTTAGTGTCACATTGTTATTTTGATTAAAGGTTTATATGCTTTTAACTTCATATGACTTCTCTAGAGTCACAAGTTAAGTATATTTGCTCATGCAGTAAATCCACAAGTGGAGTGTTTTATTTGGGCACAATTGTGCAGTTAATACCACTGTTTTCTTAGGCAAGTGCTGCAGACTGTGCATGATAATAATACTGTATAATGGCCATTGTTTTTTTACTTAAATCACATACTTGTCCAGTGACTCACTGGGAACATGAGCTGTCAATTCCATATTTAGGTTAAAAAGTATCAGCAATTGCCATCGACTGTTTCTGAAACCACACCTGAAACCTCACCTTTATTTTCAGTACATTAGCTTATTTTGTCTGTCACCTTTGAAACACCTAAGTTTCAGGGCCATCAAGTAATTACATGAAGCATTATGTCATCAGCTTTAATGCAAAAATAAGCCAGTTAAATATGGCTATAAAGGTCATTTGAAGTGGGATTTTCAATGGCATTGTAAGTCTCAAAGGGAAAAGACTTATTTTTGTTTGTCAAAAGATCTGTTTATAAAGCTGCATTTATAGGTTTATCGATAGCCATGCAGTGAAATACTCCTTGCTTAGTGAATTCATTAGTTGGGTCCTCTAGATACTTAGCATCCATGAAGAGCTTTATATGCACACACAAGCTTTAAACCTCCTTTTCGCCCCATTTCTCGGAGGTACCCTAACAGGAAGCGCATAGCAGGTGAGGAGTGCCCCTGCACATCACCTCATCATAAACCCTATGAACTCTTTCCACACAGCCAGTGACTTTGGGGATGTGGAATAGGCTTAACTGGCTGTTCCAGAAACAAGTCAACCTGCAGGTATCTGGGACTTCAGCAAAACCTCTAAAATACCGTGTACAGCTATAGTCCTACGGTTAAGAACATCCAACTTACCGAAACTCGTACTTATAAACTGACTACCATAAAGTATGCTGCAGGGAAAATTCGGGTTAAATACAAAGGTTCATAATAATGAACAGACGCACTATTCTTCGCGTCTTCACGATGCATCGTGCGGCTTCAGTGGTTTGTCAACTCAAGGTCGAGTACAGCACCGTATATAGTTACTTTATTAGTGCTGTATGACAAAAACAATAAAATCATCAACAACAATAATAAGAACAATGACAATGAATAATAATAACATTCTTCTTCTTCTTCTTCTTCTTAATAATAATAATAATAATAATAATAATAATAATAATAATAATATTATTATTATTATTATTATTATGCACTGCATATACTGTCCCAACTTACCTACAAAGTCCACTAAAAGACAAAGAGAACAGATCTGGTTTGTAACCTGGGGACTGCCTTGCTGTGCTAATTTCCAGATTGTTCAATGCAAATGCAAATGCCAAAGCAACAAACAGAATAAAAAGTCTCTAACCCTACAACCCTAACCCTATCTGTATTACATGCCCTGGTTATTGCTACCTAGCCCTCCAAAACATACATGGGTTGGCACCCGCCCGCTACTCCTGGTGTATCTAACATGTGTTCACCTACGGGAGTATGTAGGTGTGTGCACGTTCTACCTTAGCCCCGCATGCTCCCAACAAAACCTCAACCAGCAGCGGTCAACAGCAGGTAAGCCGAAGACCGTTCCTTCCGGTCCAGAGCACTATTATACAGAAAACCCCACCCCCACCCCACCTGCAACCCATCTTTCAAATGAGGTGACGTCAAATCCTCATCAGGCTGGGGGGGGAACCTAAGGAAGAACATAATACAAAAACAGCTGACTTGGTCAGAGTATGTGCCCATGATATGGCACGTACTGTAACACCACCCCACATAAAATATCAAACCCCTAGTGTGCCCTCTAGTGTGCTCACACACATACATAATATAGCCCGGTTAAGAGCAAGACAAAGCATCAGCCATCACATTATCGATACCTTTCTTATGTCTGATGTCTAGAAGATAGTTTTCGGCTATTAAGGATCACCGCATTAACCGATGATTGTTGTTGTACATGCGGGACAAAAACACCAAGGGATTGTGGTCCGTGTAAACCACAATCGGGAGAGAGCTAGAGCACACATACACGTCAAAATGCTGCAGCGCCCACAACATTGCAAGAGTCTCCTTTTCAATAGTGGAGTAGGCGAGTTGGTACCTACTAAACTTAAGGGAGAAATAACTCACGGGGTGATCTACTCCATGTTTGCTTTCCTGAAGTAGGACTGCACCGCCCCCCACAGCACTGGCATCCACCTCCAACTTAAAGGGGAGGGAGAAATCCGGAGCAGCAAGAACAGGCTCACTCGTCAGGGGTGACATTTCTCCCATTAGCTATGCGCCGTACGTTTCCCAGGGCAGGGCTCGTGTACGTTTCGCCTCCGCTCCGCCTCCGGGATCCAGGCCACGCCGCTCCTCGCTTCCCGGCCCATAACGGATGCCGTCCGGCATCCCGACAGCTTTGTCGCTGATTCTCTTATTGCGTGCACTTTTCTGACCCGTCTATTGCTTGTGTATGACTCTGGATTGTTTTCTGGTTTTTGATTCTCGCCTCGCTTTTTTTTTTTGTACCTTTGCTGTGTTTCATTTGCTATTTGGCTTTCGATCTCCCCGCTGGGTTTTTTTTTTTGGTTTACGATTGTGCGCCTGTTCCGCCTGTGTGATGGTATCGCTGCGTACGGAGTAACTAGACCGTCATTTTGGTTTGCGAGTGTGTGTTCGATTCTGTTCCTTCGGTTAGCGAGTCCGGTGGAGTTTTTGTCTTTCGGTTTCCTTTTGTTTTGCATTTGGGTGAGGTTAGCAGCAGGTCCCTTGGAAGTTGGGGATTTTTGTTTGTTTTGGCTGTGGTCACTACTTAAGTCTTTCACCGGGTTACTTGTTCGTATGTGAATAAAATATAAAAACACAAAAAATATCCCTTTCTCTACTGGTGTTCCCTTGTTCTCCTTACTCTGTTTGTCCTTTTATCCTATTCCCCTTCCCGTTTAATATCGTTACACTCCAACCCTATACTGGAGGTCGTAACACATTGCACTGCAGCATAGATGAGGGCTTCAAGACAGGCAGCTGTGAATCTATAATTATTCAAATTTTGCAATTTTATTGTATTCTGTAAATAAGTGTTGTATAATACACGTAACAGACTTTCATAGGCTCTCGTTACACTTCAAATGTAAACATGCCAATACAGCCCAGTGATCACCTGGATCTTTCAGCCACCTCAACAGACCCGATCATACAAACAAACGGGGAACGGAAAATGATCATACTGACCCAAAGGATGAGTTTGCCAAGAGGACTTAATACTTATGGTCAGTTCTTCGATTGAGGTGCTTCATTAACTTCAAAATTAAAAAACAAACAAACCGTGAGTAGAAGGCCCCACTGGATCTAACCACGTATCACATCAATTTTGTGGAAATTTGCAGAAATTTATCAAAAAAAAAACCATACAGACCTGATGACGACATTGATCTGTTCACACGTTCCACAAAATAAACATCCAACATGTCTGAACTAACTTCCTGAGGTATTCAGAGAAACGAGGCATGAGCTCAGCAAACAAAAAGATCACAAAATTATACGCTATATTTTCTAGCCAAGTTTGTCCTTTCTGTACATCTTCTTCCAATCTGATTCGAATAAAAACAAAATGTACCACAACAAGGAGGAGAGTACCACATCAGACAATAAAAGGGAATGATACAGAAATTCTGGTCTTAACGCAAAATAATAAACACCTTTCTTATATATTGTAATAAGTAACAAAACTTTCACTGGTTTTACTCTTCGGTAAGAAATATAATAAGGCTTAAAGACTATTCTGTACTCTATGTTCCAAAGAATCAACCTTGAACTGTGTTCACAGTTGCCTGCAGTGTCTTACTGGAATCATCGTAATCACATTGTATAAAGTTCTACTGTACTGGCTAAACACCCTCAGTGGAGGACAAAAATGGAGTATATCCCAGCTTCAGCACCACTAGGTGAGGGGCTTTACGTGCATTGTTGATAACACGATGGGGAGGTTTTGCATTGACTATTTCTGTAGTGTGCTGGAGTTTTCGCGTTCTCCTTTTTCACTCGGAACAAAAAATACGTTCATTTTCAAGAGTTGGAAAAAGGACGCGGCTGAAAAAAGCTTTCATTTGACTTGTCGTCCTTGAGGAGTTGAGCGTCATAGTTCCCACGGCCGTGCTGGTCTGCTTTATCTGTTGCCGTGGCTCTCGTCACTTTGGTCTTTGGCAAAATTAACGAACACCTAGAAAAGAGGAACGTGGTTCGAATATGAGAGCACATGAGAAACCATTAAATGAAGAACTTTCAATTATAATTCCAGATTATGATGAAGATGTAGCCATTAGCTAGTTTTGACCATTTCAGGGGATTTGAGCCTCAATGTCCTTTAACATAATTTAGTCCAAGGAAAACATATAAAGATCTAGGATGTTCCAATATATTGTCAACCACCATTAAAGTTGCACTGATTATGGGTTACGTGTGGCTTGTTGGGTTAGGATGCTGTCCCAGTGATTAGAAGTTTCCTGGTTCAAACCCTGTGATCATTAATTTTACTGTGGGACCTCTGAGTAGGGCCCTTAATCAAGGGCGAAAATGAGAATTTGATATTGACGGGAGACAATGTAATACTTTGAAGGCAAAGATCTTTTTATAGGGGGGCCAATATAGCCCTATTAAATATAAGGGGGTACACATCCCCCCGGTTCCTATGCCCTTGCCCTTAACCCCAATTGCTCCAGGGAGTACCTGACCCTGGTCTCTCAGTTGCATGTTGCTTTAGATAAAAAGTGTCGGCTAATGAAGTAAATTAAGCTTAGTTTGTGTAATGCCGCCACTGAAGTTGCACTTTCTTGGTCGTTACTGAAATTTGGAATTCAGGCATTTGGCTGCTTTTCCTGACGGAGGTGTCGCCGTTGTGTGTCAGGCCAGGCTTACTTGGTCGAGTGTGGTCTGCGACACTGAGTAGTCCTCTATCTGCAGACGCTGCTTGTTCCTGCACAGAACGTCGAAGATGTGCGCCAGCGAGGCCAGCGAGGAGGGCAGCTGGTACTGCAGCATGTTCCTGTGGGTCTCCTTCAGCACGCTGCCCGGAAGCTCCTTCTCCACAAACTCCATCACGGGCTGCAGGTCCGGCTCAGGTCCCGATACCCGCAGGACGATGGTGTACCCATCCCCGAATCTGTAGGGTGAACCGGGCACACACACAGGTAAATGTTACGATTACACTGAAGCAAATATGGACAGCTTCAGTTTTCACTATGTTTAACCATTTAAACAAATGTGTTCAGAAGGAACCAGTGTATGGATGGATGGATGGATGGATGAAAGCTGTTCAGAAACAAAGGTTCAAGCCTCCTGCACCAGGCGCTCTGGTTATATCAGTGTATCATTGAATCAATCATGTTTTTAAAAATGCACACATAATATTTCCTAGTGGAAAACTGAACTCAAAATGCACCAGAGCCTGTGAGCTTCCAATTACCGCGTAGGTTTGTGTGGAGAGCAGTAAAGAAGTTCAGGCTGTCGCTCTGTGGTCACAGAGGCTCCGTCTCTCACCTGTTCTTCAGGTGCTGAACGCTTCCCAGACAGCGGAACCTGCCGTTGACCATGATGGCGATTCTGGTGCAGAGAGCCTCACATTCTTCCATGCTACGGACCAAAACAAAGCTGTCAAAGCTACAGCCTTAAGCAATTTACTCTGGCATTAATACAGCTTTCTGAGTCAGATTCGTTCCAGGAATCCTTCAGCTGTTAATGCTACAGCCTTAAGCAATTTCCTCTGGCATTAATACAGTTTTCTGAGTCAGATTCGTTCCAGGAATCCTTCAGCTGTTTAATGCTACAGCCTTGAGCAATTTCCTCTGGCATTAATACAGCTTTCTGAGTCAGATTCGTTCCAGGAATCCTTAATTAAAACAGACTCATAAGGACACATGTGGTGCCCTGGACAAGCTTGACGGCCAGTGCCCCGCCCCCCCCCGCCTCAGTAAATTTCACCACCCAACTGCAGGCAGTCTGCTACGTTGGTGGCCCCTTGGAAGATGGCGGCCAAGGCGGCTGCCTATGGCGGCTGTAGGATTGACCTGCCCTGACGTCCACGGTGGATACCTGTGTGAGGTGAGGACCACGGAGCGGCCCTGTTTGAGGATGCTGAGGATGCAGTTCCAGAGCGCTCGGCGAGCCTTGGGGTCCATGCCGGTGGTGGGCTCGTCCTGTTACAAGCAGCACGTCAAGTACAGGTCAGGTACAGGTCATGTACAGGTCATGTACAGGTCAGGTACTGGTAATGTACAGGTCAGGTACTGGTAATGTACAGGTCAGGTACT